TATTATGATGCTGTAATCAAATTTTCCATGCATAACTTATTTCTATCCTTCCATATATTCCATGTCGTGGACAAGAAAAGCGTAGGCCCAGGAATTCTATCCCATACCTTATCAGATGAAAAAGGATATTGATATTCACGATAGATCATAAAATTCAAACAATTATAATTTCACATCCAAAAAGCATAATTTGACTTTAAAAAATAGTAATTTTTAGTACGATATTATTATTTTTTTTGATACCAAATAATTACCCTAAACATTATAATAACATCAGATTCATTTGAAAAGTTGAACATGCCTGAACAAATCCAAGTCATGGCCAAAATAAACAATGTTGTCTAGTGTAAAGCAGATTAGAAGTTGTTCTTTTTTTCTTGGTAAGTTAGTAGATTATCACAAGGAAAAGATAAGCTTTTTCTTCATCTGTTGTGTCCTGCCGCCCTCTCTCCATTGTTTAATAATTCTTTTTCGGCTCCTGATGTGGCTATGTAAACTTACATAACACTACCCCTTAGAGGTTAATTTTATTTTTTTAAATAAAAAAAAAATGGAGAAAATGTGTGAACGAATCGAGTTAACACGTTATCGTGATTTTGGTTGGTTTATAAACCAAGCTGAAATTTTAATCCTATCTGACTCATTCCAAAAGTTGAAAAACGCGTGAACAATTCAACAAGTTGATCTCAAATTCCTGGAGAGAGTCTTAAATCCAAATCAAGGTCTAGGGTAATTTAAATTGAGATTCTCTTCGATACATTTTTTTTTTAATNGGAGAGAGTCTTAAATCCAAATCAAGGTCTAGGGTAATTTAAATTGAGATTCTCTTCGATACATTTTTTTTTTAATTTTTTTCTTTGTGCATTATTTGTTGATGATGCACAAAACAGTCTCGTACAAGATCAACAATCGAGTGTGTGATAAAGTCTAATTAATGGACAATAAATAAAGCAATCAATGACGGTAATATAAATATTGAGTCAACACATAGATATATGCGGGTGACCTATTCCACTCTAAAAAACGGCAACAGTGGTTGGGGAGTCTTTATTGATTAAGTAAGATAAACGAGAGAGACAGAGAGAGCAATAGTTAACACCAGGAGAGGTACAACAACTAGGAGAGAGAAAAATTATGCGTGTGTAGAGAGGTGTAGAGGTAGAATTTAATGTGTCCTCTCATATAAAGTGGACTTATAATTTATAGGCACAGAACCTTGGTTGAGACGATGATGTGAATTGGGCTTCCTTGATTTATTGGGTCTGACCCAATTGAATTTGAGCTTGTCACTTGTTGTGAATTTAAGTGCGCCTATTATATATAAGTGAATTTTTCACTCATTAATGATTGATAATCCACTAAAAAAAAATTTTATTGTAAGGGATTTGAGTTGGCATGGTCTAAAGTAGATTATAATTTGTTCTTTTTTCTTGGTTAAGTGACTAGATTATTACAAGGAAAGCTAAGTTTTTTCATCATCTGTTGTGTCACGCGCAGCCCTTTTTCCATTGTTTAAATTTTTTTTTTCTGGTTCGATGTAAAGTAGTAGGGAGGCCATGACTCCCTCACTTTTTCAAAAATCTCTATACCGCCACATTAATTTTGTAAACTCTATGTTTCCACGTCATGTTCAAAACACTTTGTATACAGACGATTCACTTATTGTATTCAAGAAGACTAATGAATTGATATTTAATGGTCAAATGGGGGACGTTCTTATAGCTGAATATATTCGATTCGACAAGTTTGATGATTAAAGAAAATTATGAAAAAAAAAAGTGTTAATATTGCAAAATAAGATTATGAATGCAAATTAGGTCAAAAGTAATGTTTCTACGTACATTTACGATCGCATCACGTAAAACTATTTCTATGATGGTAAGAATAGATTTATGAATTTTGTGACTCATTTAATTCTTACAATAGTACTTACTTTATGCGAGTTAATTTTGATAAATTTGTATAAGTGAAAAATTATCTACTAGAATAAAATTCTTAAATATGTTATTGTTTGGCCTCCTTATGATAGAATATCCCGGTTCCGTCCCCAGAACCAACGATTACATTATTGTGATTTTTAAATAGTTTTTCAAAATATTATTTTTAAACTTATTTTATCGAATCATATTTTCATAATGTTTGACAATTCAACTAACACATTATCAATACCAAATAACTCTATTAATTCATATATACCTCTCTTTTCTCTCTCCCTCTCTCTCTCTTTTTTGTCCTGCTCATTTTTTTTAAAAAATTGAAGAATTAAATAAAATAAANCGGAACCAACGATTACATTATTGTGATTTTTAAATAGTTTTTCAAAATATTATTTTTAAACTTATTTATCGAATCATATTTTCCTAATGTTTGACAATTCAACTAACACATTATCAATACCAAATAATTCTATTAATTCATATATACCTTTCTTTTCTCTCTCTCTCTCTCTCTCTCTCTTTTTCCTGCTCATTTTTTTAAAAAAATTGAAGAATTAAATAAAATAAATTAATATGTAAAATATAAATATTATATAATTAATATTTAATTTTTTTGTATTGCAGTGTTTTGAAGGTAATGAATAAGATGGAATAATAAAGAAACAAAGTTGGAAAAGAGACGTACTTTGGTAGAAAACTCATTCAACAAGCAAATCAGCCACCGACTGAATCCCCCTTAGTCATCCGCAGAATTTTGAAACTCACAAACCGTCAAAGGAAAGACCATCTTACCAAACACACAAGGAACCATACATGAAACCTCATGGAAGCACACGTCTAACACCTCTATAAAAGTCACCAAACGCACGCCCAGAACACCAAGAAAAAAGAAGATGGAAAACCAGAGACCAAAGAATCAACAAATTGGATCATCAAAGCCCAATATGAAGTGCAAAAAGCACCCAAATCATCAGCAATCACCAGGTGTTTGCTCAATGTGTCTGAGAGAAAAGCTCTCTCGTTTACCTGGAACTTCAACCACAACAACATATGCTGTTGCTGCTGCTTCTTCTTCATCTCTATCTTCTCTATCTTCTTCAAATTCTTATTCTTATACGTCTCCGGTGCATCGGAATGGCCGGGTTGATTTGGAGGCAAAAGGGTCTGTGAATTTCTTGAAGAGTGGTAAGAATTTGCTTGCTAAAAGCAGGTCAATGGCTTTTGTTCCTCGAAGACGAGAGGTAGAGACTATTATGGATCATGGGAAGAAGAAAAAAGGCTTTTGGTCGAAGTTGATTCGTCCGGGAAAAAAGAGAATGGATAAAGGTTTGAGGAACTCGAGAACTATGATAGAAAGGGTTAGTACAAGGGTCCATTGACGGAGGAAAATCAATTTGGTCTATAAAGGGATTCTGAAGAAGGCTTTCATTGATTACCTCATAGTAAACTTGTTGATAATATTAGTGTTACTGTATCAAAGCCTCTCTCTCTCTCTCGATTGTGGTACAAAACTGGTCAGAATGATATGATCAACTACCATTCTTATCTGTATTTTTTGTTTGGTTTATTAGATGAAATACGCAAATCTCCTCAGTAATATGTAGTGATTTGGGCGGAAATTAAGATTTCATCATGTACTCTGATGCTAAACTGTAGATGTAGCTCCACCTACTAATTGTAACTGTAAAAGTTCGAACTCAAGAATTGAACAGAGTTATGAACATTTTCCTTCGGGATTTTCCTCCATTCGATGTTGTGGATGTAGGAAGAAGGAAGAAAGAAGTTTTTTTTAATTATGTCTTGTACGTGAAACAAGACAGGTATTCTTCCCCAAAGAAACAGCGAAGGAATGTACTGGGCTACGTCGTAGGCGTGTTCGTTGGTGCAACGTGGCTGCTAGACCCAATCTAAAGAAGATATATTCTTTGAAAGTTTGAAAGGAACATGCTATAATCTATTTCGAATAATAGTGGTCTGCCACTAAGCTCGCGAAGCCTACATATCTTATAACCAAAAAAAATTAATAGGTCTTTCAATTATGTCTTCAAATTTAATACATATATTATTCATATCCTTTAGGCTTTTAAAATTAATCATACTTATTTTATTGANCCCATACCTTATCAGATGAAAAAGGATATTGGTATTCACGATAGATCATAAAATTCAAACAATTATAATTTCACATCCAAAAAGCATAATTTGACTTTAAAAAATAGTAATTTTTAGTACGATATTATTATTTTTTTTGATACCAAATAATTACCCTAAACATTATAATAACATCAGATTCATTTGAAAAGTTGAACATGCCTGAACAAATCCAAGTCATGGCCAAAATAAACAATGTTGTCTAGTGTAAAGCAGATTAGAAGTTGTTCTTTTTTTCTTGGTAAGTTAGTAGATTATCACAAGGAAAAGATAAGCTTTTTCTTCATCTGTTGTGTCCTGCCGCCCTCTCTCCATTGTTTAATAATTCTTTTTCGGCTCCTGATGTGGCTATGTAAACTTACATAACACTACCCCTTAGAGGTTAATTTTATTTTTTTAAATAAAAAAAAAATGGAGAAAATGTGTGAACGAATCGAGTTAACACGTTATCGTGATTTTGGTTGGTTTATAAACCAAGCTGAAATTTTAATCCTATCTGACTCATTCCAAAAGTTGAAAAACGCGTGAACAATTCAACAAGTTGATCTCAAATTCCTGGAGAGAGTCTTAAATCCAAATCAAGGTCTAGGGTAATTTAAATTGAGATTCTCTTCGATACATTTTTTTTTTAATTTTTTTCTTTGTGCATTATTTGTTGATGATGCACAAAACAGTCTCGTACAAGATCAACAATCGAGTGTGTGATAAAGTCTAATTAATGGACAATAAATAAAGCAATCAATGACGGTAATATAAATATTGAGTCAACACATAGATATATGCGGGTGACCTATTCCACTCTAAAAAACGGCAACAGTGGTTGGGGAGTCTTTATTGATTAAGTAAGATAAACGAGAGAGACAGAGAGAGCAATAGTTAACACCAGGAGAGGTACAACAACTAGGAGAGAGAAAAATTATGCGTGTGTAGAGAGGTGTAGAGGTAGAATTTAATGTGTCCTCTCATATAAAGTGGACTTATAATTTATAGGCACAGAACCTTGGTTGAGACGATGATGTGAATTGGGCTTCCTTGATTTATTGGGTCTGACCCAATTGAATTTGAGCTTGTCACTTGTTGTGAATTTAAGTGCGCCTATTATATATAAGTGAATTTTTCACTCATTAATGATTGATAATCCACTAAAAAAAAATTTTATTGTAAGGGATTTGAGTTGGCATGGTCTAAAGTAGATTATAATTTGTTCTTTTTTCTTGGTTAAGTGACTAGGTTATTACAAGGAAAGCTAAGTTTTTTCATCATCTGTTGTGTCACGCGCAGCCCTTTTTCCATTGTTTAAATTTTTTTTTTTCTGGTTCGATGTAAAGTAGTAGGGACGCCATGACTCCCTCACTTTTTCAAAAATCTCTTTACCGCCACATTAATTTTATAAACTCTATGTTTCCACGTCATGTTCAAAACACTTTGTATACAGACGATTCACTTATTGTATTCAAGAAGACTAATGAATTGATATTTAATGGTCAAATGGGGGACGTTCTTATAGCTGAATATATTCGATTCGACAAGTTTGATGATTAAAGAAAATTATGAAAAAAAGGTGTTAATATTGCAAAATAAGATTATGAATGCAAATTAGGTCAAAAGTAATGTTTCTACGTACATTTACGATCGTATCACGTAAAACTATTTCTATGATGGTAAGAATCGATTTATGAATTTTGTGACTCATTTAATTCTTACAATAGTACTTACTGTATGCGAGTTAATTTTGATAAATTTGTATAACTGAAAAATTATCTACTAGAATAAAATTCTTAAATATGTTATTGTTTGGCCTCCTTATGATAGAATATCCCGGTTCCGTCCCCGGAACCAACGATTACATTATTGTGATTTTTAAATAGTTTTTCAAAATATTATTTTTAAACTTATTTATCGAATCATATTTTCCTAATGTTTGACAATTCAACTAACACATTATCAATACCAAATAATTCTATTAATTCATATATACCTTTCTTTTCTCTCTCTCTCTCTCTCTCTCTCTTTTTCCTGCTCATTTTTTTAAAAAAATTGAAGAATTAAATAAAATAAATTAATATGTAAAATATAAATATTATATAATTAATATTTAATTTTTTTGTATTGCAGTGTTTTGAAGGTAATGAATAAGATGGAATAATAAAGAAACAAAGTTGGAAAAGAGACGTACTTTGGTAGAAAACTCATTCAACAAGCAAATCAGCCACCGACTGAATCCCCCTTAGTCATCCGCAGAATTTTGAAACTCACAAACCGTCAAAGGAAAGACCATCTTACCAAACACACAAGGAACCATACATGAAACCTCATGGAAGCACACGTCTAACACCTCTATAAAAGTCACCAAACGCACGCCCAGAACACCAAGAAAAAAGAAGATGGAAAACCAGAGACCAAAGAATCAACAAATTGGATCATCAAAGCCCAATATGAAGTGCAAAAAGCACCCAAATCATCAGCAATCACCAGGTGTTTGCTCAATGTGTCTGAGAGAAAAGCTCTCTCGTTTACCTGGAACTTCAACCACAACAACATATGCTGTTGCTGCTGCTTCTTCTTCATCTCTATCTTCTCTATCTTCTTCAAATTCTTATTCTTATACGTCTCCGGTGCATCGGAATGGCCGGGTTGATTTGGAGGCAAAAGGGTCTGTGAATTTCTTGAAGAGTGGTAAGAATTTGCTTGCTAAAAGCAGGTCAATGGCTTTTGTTCCTCGAAGACGAGAGGTAGAGACTATTATGGATCATGGGAAGAAGAAAAAAGGCTTTTGGTCGAAGTTGATTCGTCCGGGAAAAAAGAGAATGGATAAAGGTTTGAGGAACTCGAGAACTATGATAGAAAGGGTTAGTACAAGGGTCCATTGACGGAGGAAAATCAATTTGGTCTATAAAGGGATTCTGAAGAAGGCTTTCATTGATTACCTCATAGTAAACTTGTTGATAATATTAGTGTTACTGTATCAAAGCCTCTCTCTCTCTCTCGATTGTGGTACAAAACTGGTCAGAATGATATGATCAACTACCATTCTTATCTGTATTTTTTGTTTGGTTTATTAGATGAAATACGCAAATCTCCTCAGTAATATGTAGTGATTTGGGCGGAAATTAAGATTTCATCATGTACTCTGATGCTAAACTGTAGATGTAGCTCCACCTACTAATTGTAACTGTAAAAGTTCGAACTCAAGAATTGAACAGAGTTATGAACATTTTCCTTCGGGATTTTCCTCCATTCGATGTTGTGGATGTAGGAAGAAGGAAGAAAGAAGTTTTTTTTAATTATGTCTTGTACGTGAAACAAGACAGGTATTCTTCCCCAAAGAAACAGCGAAGGAATGTACTGGGCTACGTCGTAGGCGTGTTCGTTGGTGCAACGTGGCTGCTAGACCCAATCTAAAGAAGATATATTCTTTGAAAGTTTGAAAGGAACATGCTATAATCTATTTCGAATAATAGTGGTCTGCCACTAAGCTCGCGAAGCCTACATATCTTATAACCAAAAAAAAATTAATAGGTCTTTCAATTATGTCTCCAAATTTAATACATATATTATTCATATCCTTTAGGCTTTTAAAATTAATCATACTTATTTTATTGACCTAATGATATTTCAAATATTAAAATTACAATAAAAAAAGTCGAAGATTACAACTAGATAAAGTTATTAGAACATGTGCAGTATTAATATGCCACAAAATTATGTCAAATTTTCAGATTCTAAAATTACCGTAACTCGAAATATTAACTTGGAATGGTTTAATGGTATATTAAAGTTATGCTTACGAAAACGTGAGTACCGAATTTTTTATCTAAAATGATATGCTGTGAATTTCATTATTAAATAATCATAAAACTTACTTATTTTGATGAAAAAAAAAACATGTTTTGTTTTTTAAGATAGAGATTTAGTAAAAATTTATAATATAAAATAGGACACGTTTCAAAAAAACTCAGTCTAAAATAAACTTATTTAACAACCATCAACATCTCTCTTAAAACTAACAACTTGTTCATAGTATTTTTTTATATGTTTTTTTGGTGAAAAGTGTAAAGATCTCTCTTTCTAAGCTGGCAGAGCATCTGTATGCCCCCTTCGTGGCAATTTCCTATGGATATCGGATTCAAAACTTTTGTCTAAGAAATATAAAAAAAAATAAAAAGAAAGACGTATTAAAATTGTTGTCCATATGCCTTCAATCAAGGGGAAAGGCTCTGGTACTGTCGGTGATATTGTACCAAAAATTATAATTTTTTAAGATTAGGTTATAATTTATTTGTGTAAATTATAATTTTTAAAAAGTATAATCAATCATGAAAGGTTGAGATCGATACTTAGAATTCATGATCGATCATGATGTCTGTAATCAATCATGGTCTTCTCTTGTGTAGTTGTAACTTTTCTTTTCAAAATTATAATTTTTTCATAAAAAGTGATAATCGATGATAAGGTACTAAAATTTTATTTTTTATTTTTGGTACGGAAGACTTTCCCTCAATCAAGAGCGTTTTTGTTTTTTGGTCTAATAGTAAGTTGTATTTATTCAGAGTCATACCGGACTCTCCTGTGGTTATCGATCAGAGTTCAATTCATGAAATAACATTATTTGTTGCTTGACTTTGGTGCTATTATTGTGACAGACTGTCCTTTTAGAGTTAATAGTTATGGATCAAATTGAACATTTCCTGATAGGGGATTGTCATAATCACGTCCAAGGATTACTACATATTAACCGTCCATCCCCTTTTGAATCTTAAAAAAAAAAAAAGAGTGTATTTCAAACATGTTAAAATACATGAACATATATATGCATATAAATATACACTAAACAGCCATCATATGCAAAATTTGAATTGCTGTCGCCCCTACTCCCACCCCCATCGAAATTTTGTTGAACTTGAAAGTGGAGTTTTTAAAAATACGTAAAGATAAAATTGAAATCAGTTAAATATTTTAAATAATAATTTAATTTTTTTAATTATATAATTTAAAATTAAAATTAAAAAAAAAAAAAGAAAAAAATGATAAGTAAGTGTGAATTGATGAGATTGTTTGACATTAGAGTGTGTTGACGTATTAATTGAGTTGTTTGACATTAAAGTCGTATAAAAAAATGACATTTTTAAGCAAAAAAAAAATGGGATTAATTTTATACCATATTAAAGTAGATGAAGATTGAATTAATCTTGACCATTGTTGTATTTTTATAATTTTTTTTGAACATGTGTTTTTATAAGTTAATAATTTAATATTTTATCTGTAATATTAGATATAAATATATATCTACAATTTCTTTAATATTTAATTGTTTTCTCTCGGTGTGCGTGTGCGTGTTTGTGGACTTCGCCAAACCATCCGCGTGATAAGACCATGGACTTGGTCTAAAGTCAAAAGTATATAAATAACTAATGTTTCTTTTCGTCCACGCATCCATTGCATACTTGTGGAATTTTATACAATTATTTTTGGTTTAAGATATATATATGTATATTATTTATTTATTTATTTTTGGGTATTGGGTAAGGTTTGCTAGACTTGTGTGCAAAGGAGGCTCGTCCAGGCTAATATTTAAGGGTGACTCAAGTTAATTAGAGACCTAAAGTAGAAATATTAAATAATTATTTTTTATTTTTAGTGTTATTTTTTAAAAAAATAATTTATTTTTATTTTTTATGCGAAAGAGACAATAGAAGGGTGTGTTATTATTATCGAAAAAGAAATTTCAATTTTTGTTTTTATTTTTTACTACATAGAGGGAGAGAGAAAGTTTAATTTCAACTTTTGTTTTATTTTTAATTTTTTTTACCAGAGAAAGAGATAGAATAAATATGAGTTGACTTTTGAGTATTTTTTAATTTTTTTAATTTTTTAAGATAAGTTTTTAATCTTTGGGGGTTATAGAATTACTATCACCAAATCTCAACCCAGATCTTCCCTTTAGACAAAGTGGATCTCACTATTTTTATAACCGCCAACAATTACCACATTCAATCATCATAAGATTAGTGGAATCCACTTTACATGTTTATGGTCATTTAATTTGATGTACCGTTGCATTGAATATTTTCTCCCAAATTTGGGTGCCATATAAACCTTTTCAATAATACTATGCACACCACCTTTATGCATTTTTTTTGTTCATTACCTCAATATAGATTAATAGATTAGGCGATCTCACAGGATTATTCAAACCTTTAGGGCCTGTTTATTTTTATGGGTTTGGGAGGGATTGGTGTCTAAGGTTTAGGAAAAATAGTCCAAAAGACTCCCAAACTCCACGCCTGAATTAAAAATTTAATCTTAGATTTTCAAACTCAGCTCGTAACTGACTCTATATATATATATAATTTTATTTTTTAATTTGTCAAGTTCGGATTGAACTCGGGTTCACGAAGTCTTAACCTGAGCCTAACCCAACTTGAATTCGGGTTAGAATTTTTTTACCCAAGCCCAACTCAAGTATTAAAAATCCTTGCCTAAATTCTAATTTTTTCGTGTTGAGCTTGAGTTGAAAACGGGTTGTTCAACCTAAGTTGCACTCCTACGAAATATGAGACGATTGTACGCAACAAATTGTACAGGACTATGAACATTGGGTGTGGATCGTACATATCTTGATACTACATAATATAGACGTACACCGACTTGGCACGAGTTATTACTAACCGCTACCGAGTTTTTTTCTGGTCAAACGCTTAAATTGTTAGAGTTACATAGTGGTTGAATTAGTGTTTTGTTTCTATATTAAATAATTATCTATTCAAACGCTTAAATTGTTAGAGGTGGTCTAACTTAATTCTTTATTTTTTAACACGTTTTTTCACGTGCATGCTAGATGTAGAGTTTAGCACATAAAAACTTTTTAATAATTAGGGTGATGGTAAAATTTGAATGCAAGATCTCCTGCTCTCCTCACGTGCATGTTACATTTAGAGCTTACCACATAAAAATCTTTTAATAATTAGGGTGATGGTTAGATTTGAATACATGACCTCATACTCTTCTCATGTGCATGCTAGATTTAGAGCTTAACACGGAAAAATATTTTAATAATTAGGATGATGGTGAAATTTGAACACAGGACCTCTTACTCTCATCTCGTGGTAAAAATCTTTTAATAATTAGGGTGATGGTGAGATTTAAACATAGGACATCTTGCTCTGGTACCATACTAAACAATAGATCGAGTAGTAAATAGTTGTTTAACATAATGTCTAAAGTCTATGATAAACTATAGCAATCCAACCAAAGAACAAAAGCCAAAAGCGTATGAGGCTTCTTGTATTCAAAACTTTTGTTCCTTTTTTTTTTTGGTCAGGGTATTCAAAACTTTTGTTCAAAGACCTACTTTTACTGATTCTTTTAATGGGTCCAATTTAATGAGTTGTTGATATTTTTTCATAACCATTTGTTTATTTGATCCAATAGCACAAGCCAATGAAGAATTGGTTCCAAAGCTTATGTTTGGAAACACTCCCGTCTTAAAAGAGATAAGGTTATATATATTTAACATTCCTCAAACTCAACTATAAGACAAGTTTCGTAAATGGATGTCCCCCTATAGCCTAATTCGATTATGGAGAATCGATCTACAACCTAAAATCAATACTATTAATAAAAATACCTTAACATAAAATTTTTTTAATTCACTACTTTACGCTCATAAAGAATTAAAAAAGTCACTTTATCTTTCCACACTTAATATCTAAATTACTATCATATCTTTATACATTTGAATCTCCAAATTACATCTAACATCACTTTTAATTATATGTTCTCTATGTATAAATGTCAATTTTTATGAAACTTTTTGATTGATTCTATTACTATTAAAAAATGTATGCATCATTATAAGTTTTTAACAAATATTCAAAAATTTCATTAATATAATATTACTCTTTTTTTTTTCATCAATATAATATTACTCACCTTATATATAAAGATAATATTATGACTACATATTTATATTTTATTTTTCTTCAAAATGTTTAACTCTTTCATTTTTAAGATAAAAAATAATATATATATATATATATATATAGTTTTATATAATTTTTTAGTCGCAGTAAACTTTTCAAATTGTAATAAGATTTTATGTAAAAACTCAATTTTTTTTTAAAAAAAATTAATATGTTTTATAATATATATTAT